TTTTTTTTTTTTTGTTATTTGGAGTAGGATTCTAACTAAAGTTTACTACTGATTCCCAGGGACAAGGGGGCTTAAAGCACTTTTATTTGTCTGGTGATTGCTTTGGCTGCTTGGAATAAATACTAAAGCTACTGTTAGAGGATCACTGTTTCGCTACCTCTAAAGACTCGTAAGCCTGATTGGTATTATTTCATCTCATTTAATCTGAAGGCAGGTTGTAGCAATGGCATTTGTCAAGAAGATTTCATGGTTCTTGCCAGGAGAGGAGAAAAAAGAAAAGGAAGAGTGATTTTCTTGATTGGGTAGTTGTAACCTGCCTGATTCTAAAATAACTGTTATTCAAAAAGACATGGTTAACGAGTTTAAAGAAGCTTAGTTAGTGTTCCATTAAATAAGTTGTTAGATGAGAAAGATGGGTATGTGGAAGGGAATTTTTACGCATTTACCGTTGTAGGCGTTTCGTCAAATTTTTTTCACAATTTTTCAGGTCTTTCAAGTAACAGCATGTTTTTGACAAAAGAGAAAAAAAAAAAAAGAATGGAAATTTGCGATTTTTCACAGAAGTCTTACTTAATCTTGGGAAATGGAAAAAAATTTTTTCGATGACAAGAGAAGTTTGTCTTGTTCGCCACTATATTCTGTTTAAGTCCCATATTACGTCACTTTTACTTCATATTATTTTTTCACTGAAAAGAACAGAAGTGAAAAACTGGTTACATTTATTGAATTTTCTTATCACTATTTGCATTTGATTGTACAAAAAAAAAGTTTGCAATTAATTGAAAAAAAGTATTCTGCCAAGTTTAGTTTTCATTGTAGTTTCTTCTTATTGTCATCGCTTTTATTTATTTATTTATTTTTTACAATTCTGGTTTTTTTCAACCGTATTACGTAGGACGATTCGTAATGACACTAATAATAGGATCTTATTTCTTTAAATAAAATTGAAAAATGAAAACTTTTTAAATATAATTGAAGAAAATTTATTTCCTGAAGTTTTTGGTGTATCTGCGAAGAAACGATATTTCAAAGTTACAAAAATATTTATCATTGTTCAAACTTTTTGATCAAAACTTTTTGTTTTTTTTTTTTATTTTCATATATTTAAGAGGGGTAGGAATGTTACGCATTCTCGTTTTTGTCACGGTTGCTGTTGTGAGACTGAAAAAGAAGTTTTTGTTTAAAAAAAAAATTTTTGTGTCGGCCTTTGATAGTTTTGTGGTGATCACCAATTGCCACCACCATCGGTAGCTGCCCAGTGAATATGGCATAGTGGTTAGGGGGAAGGAGAGGGATTAGATCATTAGAGTGAGCGATTTGGTCGATATTAACATCGTCAATGATGATGGTGATCTATCGAAGAAGAGCAGATGACAGTTACACCTCTGTGTTTGTGCACTTCGACCGGCCGGTTAAAAATACAAAATTTTTCAGAGTCTTAGATAATGATGACGAACACATCAATTATCACTATCAAAAACTTACTTTACTAAATTCATTAACGGATTTTTTATCTATTGCCATCAGTCGGTTGTGTGCCAGTGACAGATTTTGAAGGTTTCTCAATTTACTGATTGCTTTTGGGAATTCCTCAATATTGCATCCATTTAGCACAACTTCTTCAAGAGTTTCTTCAGTGCCATCAAATGCATGATCGGCAACGTGCAATGGCGATTCTTGAGTGCACGGACCTGAAAGTAATTGAGAGGGTGCATTGTTTCTTTCCTTTTTTTGACTTTAGGGAGTATTTGTTTTCATGAGCTAAACAAGACAGAATATTGAAAAAATCAAGGACGTTAAACTGTTTATCAAAGAGTACAAAAAACGAGAGCAAGTGCTATTCCAAATTTCACGCAGGAATCAGTTTTTTATTTTCTTTTCTCTAGAAATATAGATAAACTTGGAGGATTGTCTTGGGATGATGTTATGAGAAGTCAGAACTATATACCAATATGGAGTCGTTTTAGTAAAACACCCTTCTCGTTGAAGAAACCATCCGATATATTATAATCGGTGAAATCCATATGACGGAGAGTAATCTGAAAAAGTTTCTCATTTTGCCGCTCTCAGTTTAAAAGTTTCATTTTTTTTTTTTTGTTTCAAGATTTTGTGTGTATGAAGAAGCAGTAAATTTTTTATTTGTTCTCAAAGTTCTTTATATCTTACCTCTTCGACAGTGGCATTAACATCGTTGATCAAAGAGATAGTTTTGCGGAGATCATCAAGCGTGGAACCGTATAAACAATTAATAGCTACATGAAGTTCTGGATTTACTTTACAGAAGCAAAACAATAAATTATGTATGGAGGCATTATTAAGGTTAATCAGTTCATCTATCTGCTCAATATCATAACAACCAGGAATTTTTTGCTGGAAACATGTGACTGTACTGACACAGCAAACAGTTAACAGTAATAAGCTGTAATGTCGAGTAGAGAAGAATATTAACGGACGGCAACGAAGGCTGTTTTTATGTATTGCTCGAAAAGTGGGTGATGGAACTACTGTTTGTTGTGATTCTTGCAAAGTAGATTCCGGTTGCTGTAGTTCAATATCTACATCTGGAAATGACAGCGGTAGATGAGAGGTGTTGGTACAGTCTGGAAAAGGCATCAGTGATTTGAGCGTCTAGTGTAAGATCAACATCGTAAGAGGCAGCAATGTCAGTGTAACAAACAAAGATGATTTTTCGTGTTGTTTCCGTAGAATGCATGATGCATCTCACTTTTCGACGGGGGAGGAATAGAGGGGACAGGACAGGCCAGCGAAGGGAGAGGGAGAGATATGTACGTGCGTTGTTACTGGTGTTATTCTTGTTGCTGTATTTCTGCCTTCTTACCTTTCTTTGTTGTGCTGCCTCTTTCTTTATTTCATTTTTTCTCCCATTCTTTTTGTGGTTTGAACCGGTCTTTATATGACAAGAATTCTTGGACCGTACATTTTAAATTTGCAAAATGTCTTTTTTTTCCTCTCCTGCAGGTTGGTTGTCGTCTATTGTTAGTTAGATCGTCATTTGTTTTTATTTCTAACCACTTCTCGTTATTCTTTTATCATACTTATTTTCTTTATAATTTATGTTGAATCTGTAAAGCTATGCTTTTATTCGATTTAAAAAAACATAAGGAAGTTGGCTGCCTTTTTGGTAAAATTTCACCATTTTTTGTCTGGTTTTTGAAGAAATCTTGTTTTTTTAACTTTGCTGTCTTTAGCATCTTATATTTTACCGTATTGTATTTTTTTACAGATTATTAAGTTTGTTTTTGGGAAAGATTTAAGCTTTATAGACGTGGTATAGTTTTGGAAGTGATGTTTTTTAAATTTACCTAGTGATACTAAAACTGATAAGTGAATAAATACATTGTTCGGAAGGAATATAGGCGATTTTTGTTTTTGCTTGGCTAGTCGCAAGAGAAGTTGTTGTTAGATCGACATTTGGAAGCTTTCTGTCCGTTAATTTTTTTTTTTTTGAGCTTAAAAAATGACCAATTTGATAAATTGCTTATTGGTTATCTGAGGAATGGAAGAGAGTGTGCGTGTGGTGAAAAAGCTGTCTTTATTGGGACTTTTGCTTCATATGCGTATTTATTACATTGAACTTTTTAGGCACTATTTATTGAGTGTACCTATTGGATAAAATTCTTTTTTATTTCTGCCATCTGTTGTATTAGTTTAGTTTTCGCTGTTCTGTTGTTTACAGGTCAGCTAACGTTCTATAGTGGTAGCCACTTTGATGTCACTAGATTTAAAATACTCAGAAGACAGGTCAAAGGAATACTGAACGTTGTCTAATTCCTGTTGTTGTTCCTGTCTTTTTTTCGTTTTTTAGATCTTGCTTTTTGATCTATTTTTGCTTTTGAAGCATTTGGCTAATTTGTCAAAATGGTAATTAAAGGTATGTGGAACCAAGAGAGCCAAAAAGTTTGTGTGAAAATAATTTACCGGAATCGGAAGAGGAACTTGCTGCAGAAGAAGAAAAGCAAAGAAGCCGACTTGATCAACTGCATAGACATGTCTGCATTATTTTTGGAACATTTTTCAACATAAATTATGGAAATTTTTTTTATTTATATTTAGCAGGCTAGAAAAAATTATTTATTGGCCTTAAAAAAATATGATTTGTCTTTATGTATCTTGAAACTTGACGAACATTTGAGGCATTTAGATCGCTGAATTGCGTGAGATGAATTTACCAATTCATGAAAAGGAGGAAGAATTATGGGATGTACAAACTGCAATTACTTTGTTAAGCCGAAAGGTAAATTCTAAAAATTTTTAATGTTTAATTTAGTCAGCAGTCTGTGTATGTCGTTATAGCATTACATTTTATAAGTTTTTGGAAGCTTTTTTATACAGCAATTATTACTTCAGAGTTTTAAGTGAAATTATGCAATCTTTAGTTGAAATTGCTGCATGCAAAACGAGCCGAAAGTACTGATTTGGAAGGAGCAGAAGGACCGGCACTAGAAATGTTTGAAGAAAAGCAACTGTTAGCAACGTGTATTGCGTTACGTGAAGATATCAGTCGGCAAAAGTCTAGAATTATAACATTAGAGAATCGGATTAACTCGTTGTTACAGCAGAATGAGGTATTGAGTAAGGTAGAAGGTGATGAATCAGAAAATCTGAAAGGGGTTGACGAGGATGCAGAACTGTGGAAGCAGGAATGTTTCAAGGAGGAAAAGAGAAAGATGGAATTGGTGCAAGAGATAATTGAGCAAAAAGAAGCTTGCTGTTTGCTCCGAGCCAAACTTGAAATGAATTTTGTAAAACAGCCGAAACTCCTGGTCACTCGTTTTTGACCACTCACTCTTGATTTCTGTGATTTATAATAAGCATTTGGTTTTTGGGACGGGTATATACGACCTGGTGTTCTTTTTTTTACTTTGTTTCTTTCTTCTGTAGGAACTTTGTAACATTCTTGGTTTAATCGAATGATTTACAGCCAGAGCGTTTTCGCGTCACATTCTTCTTCAGCTTCTTCGGGTAACGCATTTGTAGGGTAGCTTTTTTTTGGAGTAGTGAAAAGCAAAAATTAATGTGGTTTGATTTCACTGTTCTGATGGTTCTCTTCAACAACGTTTTTTCTACCTTGGCCGAATAGCACAAACTTCTGCTTGAAATAAACCAGCTTTTCTTAAAACGATTTTTGTTTTCTGGGAGTTAGCAAAATCTTGAACTTCTTAATAAAGCGAGGGTTAGAAATGTTTTGAAGGGAAAGTCAGCAATTTTAGGGGCATAAATTTTGATTTGAAGAAGTCTTCGGAAACTGCTATTTTACGTCCACTTACTCATAAACTTATTAGGTAGAAGAAAGTGTATTTCGTTCGATAATCATTTGTACCAATAAAGTTCTGATTGCTGACTATGTCTATTAATGCTCATTATTGGTACGGTTTATTGTGATTGGTAACTTTTCAACAATACTGGTTAATGGCTGTATCGATTTAATGAAAACCGATGGATTTAAGCTAACTGTATTTTGTTTTATTTTTGTCGAAGAAAGTCTTTATTGCTCTATTGTCTTGTAGCTTTGAGGTATAAGGGTTGGCTCAAATTTTTTCAATCTACTGTTGTTATGAGTTGTTAATCGTATTTCTTGTTGTTATTATTTGTGATCTTTTTTTCAGTTGTGTTTCTCGTTGTTGTTGGCTTCGCAGTTTATTCGGTTTACCTAGATAGAAATAAAAAGAAATCATACCTTTTAGAAAAAAAAGAGAAAGATTGATGATGGATAAATTGGAGGTGAAGTTATTTGTTTGATGACGAATGGTAGTTATTGGTTCCCGCTTTCTTCCCAAGCTTGCTTGTAACTTAATTGTAAATTTAGATTTTTTATCGCTGTTTTTGTTGTTGTCTTCGTTGTTGTTATATTTCTGCTACTATTTTATATTTGTTCCACAATAATAAGGTCCAAAATTGGAAGGGAAGAAACTTTTGCAAGGTGCAAAGGAGCTGCACATAAAATCACCACAAAGAAAAGGAAAATACTAGAGGAGAGACTTCAGAAAAGAGAGCTGTAAAGCTAATACAAGTGTAGTTGTTTATAGCTGTCGTGACCATACGCGGAACGGCACTTATTACAGTAAGTGACCGACAGGATTATGTTCTCTGAGGGGACGCTTGTGGAGGAGCATACTACCTAGGTCACACCACCGGTGGGATAGGTATAAATAGGGACCGACAACTAGCTAGTTTTTAGTGTTTTCATTACAATCAAATCTAATTGATTGTCGACGGTTTTCTATGAGCTTTCTCTTGTT